TCCTATCATATTATCGATAGTTCATGAATTCAAAATCTGCATCGCCATCATCTCTTCCTTTTGACTTGTCGAAAATCTCAAATAACTTTTCAAACTTCTCATCAAAATATTCCTATAAAAAATTACTAACAATGATTATTCTGAATAATAGAATAACATTATCAAGAAAAAAGACTTATCTATAAATAAGCTTACCTTGACTTTTTTCACAACCCCATCCACAATAACAGATTGGTTATCTCGTCGAAACTCTTGAACAACTTCTTTCGCGATCATGCGCTTTTCTTCTGTTGCATGGTTTTTAACCTCAATCCTTACCCTATAGTATAGAAATAGAACAACACAACAATTTCAGAAAATAGAAACACAGAATAAAACTTCAGCTTTAAGAATGTTGAAGTTCAACAAATACAGAACAAAATATCAGCTCTAAGAATACTAAAGTTCAGTAAATACAGAATAAAAAATTCAGCCAAAACATGTTGTAGTTTTACAAATACAGAACACAACTTCAGCTCCAAGAATGTTGGAGTTCATAAAAACAAAATTAAAACTACAGACAAAACATACTTTACTTTTACAAAATACAAAACAAAACTTTAGCTCCTAGAATGCTGAAGTTCACCAGAAACAAAACAAAAATTGCAGACAAAACATGTTGTAGTTTTACAAAACACAGAACAAAAACTTTAGCTCAAAAAACAATGTTGAAGTTCAGCAAAATACGAAACATAAACATCACATAAAACATCCTATAATTAAGCAAAAAATAGTGTGAAAAACTTTAGATTAAACGCAAAAAAAAAAACTTACACGACATATTGTGTTAACTAATTCATCATCAAAATACTGTTTAGAATGTTTAGAACGACTCTGAGTACGAGGTGATTCTCCAATTACATGAGTTCGATTCGTTTCTTTTGATCGACTCTGACTACGTGGTGATTCACCAGTTGAAGGAATCGGATTCAGTACCTTCGATCGAATGCAACTGCATGGTAATTGTCCAGTTAAAGGCATTGAATTCAATTCCTCTTCGGTAGGAATTATCTCCAATACCCTAAATGTCCGATATTTCTATTTAATACAGAAAGGTATATTAGGAAAAATAAAATAAAACTGATACGTCAACATATTGACAAAACTACAGAAAAAAGGAAAAATAAAGAATATTAACTTACACCATAATTGCTAAAGTAATCCTCATGAAGTTCTTTAAATTTAGGCTCCCCCAAAGATTGATAACGTAACATCTTGGGAACTTGAGGGACATCAAGGTAGTCGTCATCTTTTAAATACTTGTCCCGAATATCTGGGAAACACTCATAGAACTAAACACATAATGGACATAGAAATTTGCCTACAGTATACTCAGTTGGATTATTTTTGTCCTTGTTGTCCAAAACATGTTTTATTGAGGTAATAATCTTCTCATAAGATGCATTACCCCAAGGATAATTAAGACAAGCCTCATCGTCTTCAACAATAGCTACGAACCCCTCTAACACAATTGATTCATTCTTTCTTCCGAGCAAAATAGACTCCACAATAAGAATTTTCATAAGCTTCACAACATCTTCATCAAATTTGCTTACGTGTTTGAAATTCACATCATTCTTTTTAATTTGATTCCATATCATATACTCTCGAATGTCCTTCAAGGTCACAACCTTAGACCTCCCAAAATAGCGCTTCGGAATCTTACTCTCTTGTTTAATTGGGTTTTCAACATTATGTGTTGTGATCCTCAAACCGCACATAATGTGAAAGTTTTCAAGGTTGAACAACATATCACAGCCAAAAATCTTGAAACTAATGGAATCTCAATCATTGGTGAATACGCGAGAAAGAATCAAACAATGAACCAACTTCATGCTGCAATGGAAATTCTCCATAGCCATGATATACCGAAATGTACCATTATTCAGCTTCTCCTGTTGTGCAGGAGTCAAGAAAGTTGCAATTACACCCTTCAAATCGTGTTTCTCCTTCTAGTAATCACGAAAGTTAAACCAATCTTGAACTCATATTATCTCTCCCCTGGTTTTGTAGGTACAACAGGGACTGAAGGAGCTTTACGTATTCTAGGTGCTTTAGGATCTTTAGGTGCTTTGGATTTCGTAGATGCCATCTGTTCAAAAAAATTAAATGTGGAAAAAATAACTTCAAAACATTATCAAAAATCATTTAAAACTTCCGCACAGTTTGGCTTAAGTTATATTTTAAAGCCCTCTAACTTCAGAGAAATATAGAACAAAACTTCAGCTCTAAGAATGTTGAAGTTCAGCAATTATAGAACAAAAACTTAGCCAAAACATGTTGTAGTTTTACAAATACAAAACACAACTTCAACTCTAATAATGCAGAAGTTTATCAAAAACAAAACTGCAGACAAAACATACTTTACCTACACAAAACACAAAATAAAACTTCAGCTCCTAGAATTAAGTTATCCTTAAAGTATTATAAACTTCACACTTTAATAACATCATCTATTTGAGCCTCAAAATTTTTAAAAATTTCAACGCCTCCAACAATCACCGAAGAATATATAGAATTTTCATCAAAAATACAAACACAGTTTCAAAAAACCTAAAAACACTAATCCTAAAAGTAAAACCTACAAAACTAATGCACTAATCATAGTAAAACCTAGGAAACTATTTTAGCACAAATAAAAAACGACTCAACTAAGATTACTATCAACAAAAAACCCAGAAATTAAATCATAAAACTAATCCTAAATTAGAACCCCATACAAAGTTAATGCAATGTACAAAAGCAACCATTAAAATTGTACCTGTGATTATACTTAATTTTGTTGGAGAAGAAACAATTGCAAATCAAGCAGAATGCAATGGCGAAAACCGTTTGATTTTAGAAAATAATCAAAAACTACGAAGAAGGATAGAGAGACAGAGACAATATGTTGTATACTTGGAGAGAAAGTAGTCTTTTAATAAAGAAGAGCAAAATTGTCTTTTTAAAATGCTTTTAACAATAAAATGGGTACAGATGCAAATGGAAAAACAAAATGAATACAAGTTAAAAAAGGCAACCAAATAGGGCGCCCCATTCAATTTTTACACTTGTATTAACTTGGACATAGGACCGTGTTGACCGTGTGTCGACAAAACGAACTAATAAATCGAATAGAGATAATGGATTATATATGGAGAGATGTAGCATAAAATAGGGAAAGAGGAGAAGAGAGAGAAATAGGAAAAGTATGTAACTGAGTCCCCTAATTTAAGACACTAATAATGGATTGTATATAAATTATAAGCAATCTTTGTTTAGAGCGGATAATATACGAAATTAAGACAATTTTGGTAAATAAGTTTTAAATATTGTATAGAAACTAAAAATCCTTTTCAATAGGTGAAATACATAAACGGCCCCTTTAAGTTGTCCTCAACGACCAGACAAACACTTCAACTGACCCCTTTACCATTTAGACACTTCAAGAGGCTATTAAGTGTGCCAAGTAAACACCCAAGCCCAACAAAATATATGCGTGAGTAACACTTGCTAGTGATGTATTAAATATACCAATAAAAGAATGACACATGTAATTTGTAATAAATATTTGATACATATAATTATAAAAAAAATACATTTAAAGAAAAAAAGAAAACTTTTGCAAACCAATGCCAATCTCCCCCCCCAAACCATCTTCTTGCTTCCCCATCTACATCCTCAATAACATTTCTCAAATCAATCCCAAAATATTAAAAACAACTGAAATTGGCTACACTTTGACGAGTAGGGATGGAGTGTAGGCTATGATTCTTCAAACTCAATTTCAGAAATTTCGTCTTCTTCAATAGAATCCAAACGAACCCAGCATCAGTGGTCGAACAGACTTCATCGAGCAAATTCGAATAGACCCAAAAAATTCGAACAAACCTATCTTCTTCAAATAGACTTTAAACAGACCCAAAAATTTCGTCTTCTTCGAACAAACCCCATCATCGTCTTCTTCGAACAAACTTTGAAAATTTCGAACCACTTATCGAATCAGCTGCAGTCATCCTTAATCTGTAGATTCCGCTTCACAAAGAAGTTTTCAATAAAGATTTTGAACATTTAATCGATTCGACCTCCAATTTTCAGATCAAAACAATTGGATTGACTTCCAGATTCAATTTGTTAACGAGAACGCATTACTATACTCTAATCAGGTGATAGTTTGGATTAACTTACTTTTTGTGTTAATGTTGGAATTGTGCAAATTGAAGATATTGCTCGAGTAGCCATTGTTACAGATCCGTCTCCATGGAAGCTGCTATTTGAGCTTGTGCTGAGCTTGTAAAATCACTTCACGTGCCCAAAATATTAGTAGCAAACACGCACATGCCACATAAGCAACATGTATTTACTTGACACACTTAATAGCCTCTTGAAGTGTCTAAATGGTAAAGGGGTCAGTTGATATGCTTGTTTGGTCGTTGGGGACAACTTAAAGGGTCCTTTATGTTTTTGCCTTTTCAATACTACATGAATAATTGAATATATATAACCGTTAAAATAGCACGGTCTAGCCAGTTTCGGACTGGTCATTCAAAAATAGCTAGCGTTTGTCAAGTCATTAAAAAATAGCCACTATTTTGCTGCAACAGAGATCGGTCCAACATAATATACTGGAGTTCGATGCACCTGTGTATGAACTTCCAGCATATTATGCTGGACCGGTATACTTTGCTGGCTCCAGTATAATATATTGGAGACTGGAGCACCGGTGCTCCAAACTCCAGTATATTATGCTGGACCGGTATATTATATTGGAACTCCAGTCTAATATACTGGAGTATTTTTCCGGATTTTGAATAGTGTTTTCGTTCAGATTTACCTTTACATGAAAAGTGGCTAAATTTCGATTACTTTTAAAATTGTGGCTATTTTTGAATAACCACTTGTAAATCTGGCTATTTTTGAATTTTTCCCCATATAACCGGACTAAAATTATGTGGGCTTTGCCCTCGCAGGTTCGAATCATGCCGCACATGCTTCAGTAAACTTCAATTTTCCTCTTTTTTTTTTTGTCTCCGATTTTCTCTCTCCATCGTCTCAGATTTCAGCTCTTGGAGCGGTTTCGTCCTTCGGTCAGTTATGACTAACGAAAACGATTCTGGTGCAAGTGGAAGTTGAGTACGGTTCTTGTGCTTTTGGTCTCCCCTCGGCTGGGATTTGGAGGGATCTGTCGACAGAGCTCCACAATCTCTGTAGTCTGATGCCATCATAAACCCAAACCCTTTGCAACTTTCTACATTTTGCTCAATTTTAATGGCATCAACTAGCAAAATGCCTAGCACTTCTGAGGATGATCTAGAAGAGGAGGTATTTTTCCAGTGGCTGGTACATTTGTTCTTTAACTATCATTGTTAGCAGCACTATAATATTTAGTCGAAGAAATCATGATGTCAGGCACAACATCAGAGAGCTACATAGTATCAAGATATTGTTAGATCGACAATAATGTTGCAAGGCCTGTTCAGTTTTCTGAAAAGTATTTTACTATTACAAACTAAGGGTGTGTTTGGCATAACGAAAATGTTTTCCGTGCAAAATGTTTTCTTGGAAAACATGTAATAATTTTATTCATTTTCTGGTATTTGGTACACTTAAGGAAAATAACTTCTCAAGAGTATTCATAAATAATTTAGATATAATAAACATGAAGCCATAAACTTTCGAACCAACAACCTTCCGAACTCACAAATTTATAAACTTCCGAGCCGCTAAACTTTCGAAACCGGGAACTTTCGAACCCGTAAACTTTATAAACCCATAAACTTCCAAACTCTAACTTTGTAACTTGTAAAATTTCGAACCTGTACATCGAAACATGAAAAAATTAAAAGTATATAAAAAAATATTTTCTTTTTTCGGGGGGTGGGGTGTACATAAAACNGGTGGGGGATGGTGGTGCAAAAAAAATAAAAAAAACAGAAAATTGAAATTACAAAAAAAAAATTAAAAAAAAATAATTTTTTCGGGGGTGGGGTGGATGATAGTAGGCTAGGTGGTGACGGAAATAAAAATTGAAATTTGAAAGAAAAGCCTTTTTGGAGAGAGGGGGTGGTGGGTAGGCGTGGGCATGGGTGTGAGGGTGTGGGTTGGTGAGGATAGAGAATAGGGTGAGGAAGGTTGAGAAAGTTTTGGAAAATGTTTTCCTTCTCTTGATAAGGAAAACATTTTCCTTCAATTGAAGAAAAATGAGTTCATAAGGGAAATGTTTTCCAAAACATTTAAGCCAACCAAAAATGTGAAAATTGGAAAATATTTTCCGGAAAATATTTTCCAATTTTCACATGACACACCCTAAATCATCTATTCAACCAAAAGCTTACACTCAATTGAAATACAAACTCAAATACAATAAGCACCAAATAAATGCAACTCAGAACATGTAGATTACACATGGTAGGTCGAGATTTCTGAACTTCAAATTAGGCGTTTCTACGATTTAAATTTTCATGAGAGCTTCTGTTGTGGTCGTAATGTTGTTGAAGTTTTGTCTATGTAAAGCTCACTCTTATATCCTTCTCAAATATAATAATTCTGGTTGTCCTTGTGGTTGTAGCAGCATGCAACCTACAATAACACTATCAGTATTTAAGCATTATGGCACTATTCAACTCCCAGATGTATTTGAAGACAGATTACAAAAGAACATGTAAATATGAGAAACACTATAAAAAATATTGTATTTCAAATCACTGCTCCTACAAATCATGACAATTCTTGCTCATAGCCATGATATTCCTCCAGGACTCACGACGGTAATCTCATTTCATACTCATGCCATTACAAATTTGTAGTGGTTGTGTTGTATGCTCCGAAAACCATAGAGGTTTGAGCTTCCTTGAGGTTATCACCTTCTTTGCAAGTCTCTCCCTCTTTCCTTATACAATAATCAAAGCATGCTGAACAAAGTTTAAGAAAGTTGGACTGAAGAGATTATCAATCAACAAAATAGAATCAACAAAAAGTGGAAAAAGAGGTCAATGAGAGACTTTGAATCTGTTTTAAAGGTTATTATGCTTATACATAATAATTTTGGTTCCAATGGTCGGTGCACTATTTTCAGTCTGTAAAATATTCTACAGTTCTTCTATTTGCTCTACTTTAGCTTCCACAATATCTGAAATTTGATAAAACATTCCAGAAACAAAAGAGATACAAAACTCAAGTCCCACAAATCAGAATAAAGGATGTCAACAAGAACATCAAATATGCAAATAAAATATCCTTTATGTGCAAGGAGAAAACGAAGAACGACAAGTCATTAAAGACAACTTTTGTGTTAGCCAAATAAACAAACGCATACCTTTTTCAAGTCATCAGCTAATATCAAAGAACTTCCACTTATTCATGTGACCGAAGCTCGTCGTTAGTAGGCAAAAGCCCTTCACTTCAAAACAATCAATCAGGACTGACGCCATCTTCGCTTCTTCTGATTATTGAAAGTGAACGTTAAAGCTTTGAAGCAAATCTTCAAGCATTCCTTTCAAGTCAGCTAATCAAATATAATTTTTATTCCCAAATGCTCCAAAAAAGAATCTGATAACAGTCCTAGGCAATAGGGCACTAAATCTCTCCATATAAACTACAAAGAGAATGACACCTATTTGCAAGAAAGAAAAGTCTCATATATTTCTAACATCCATGTAAAATTCTATTGTGGATATTAACTTATCTTTTCATCAATCATCTTAATATATGATATGTACTCAAATAGGTTAGCAGACACATTTTATCTAAACAATACTACTCATAAAGTGATATGCACAAGTATTATTTGTTCAAAAGAATGAAAAGTTCTTCCAACTATTAGCAATAACTACTGCACCCAATCTTTCTTGCAGCTTGGTTGAACATTAAGCATACCTTGCTATAGCAAATTACAAAAGGTAACGATATCTTTGCCATAAAAAGAAGTCCTTGCCCTTCTGTTCTTATTATAGAAATTAAATAAGTTAAAGCTTGATGCAAAGCTCAGTACATAGAAATTAGTTATTCCACTCTTGAGATGTCAATCAAGAAACAGGAACATTGTACACTGATTCTTCAGCTTTTAAACTCCAATAGCAAAGCATGAAGACAGACAGAGACAACCCTAGTTGTAGCCAAAACTATAATTTTTGACCAGATTTTAGCTCAGTACAAAGTGATAATTTTTGACCAGATTTTAGCTCAGTACAAAGTGATCCTTATATGGATATATATGTAGAGAGCATATGACAGTGGACAGAGAAATTACTCTCCCACATAAGTACTCCAAAAACAACTGATAATAGATTCCATCTTGCACGCAATTCAGTTGGGTAATGGAAATTATAAAAGAATAAGACAAAAAGGAAAGAGCTACCAACGCAATTCAAAAAATGACTTCAAAACTAAGGTGTTAAAGAGCTGTCAAGGCGTCAAAAAACCACCACTGTTTTTTTTTCTTCCTTTTGATAGGTAAAGACAATCACACAGTTAATAAACCCTCATCCATGCAAATCATTACGATATATGAGAAAAAAACACATAAAAGAGTGAAATTTTTCATCAAATGCGAAGAGTATAAAATAAGTGGCAAAGACAGAGTGTGACATTCATCGAGAGACCAACTTCACCAGAAATATTGAGAATGAAATGTTATTGAAATAAATTGATGAAGCACCAACTGTGCCCATTGTGATTCAACACAGTTATTCAGGAGTTTGGCATGACTCGTAGTGAAGCTGATCACTCTGTATTTTATCGACATTCTGCTTCAAATCTCTGTATTTATCTGGTCGTTTATGTTGACGATATTGTTATTATCGGCAATGATCAGGATGGTATTAGTAAGTTGAAGCAACATCTCTTTCAGGACTTTCAGACTAAGGATCTGGGCAGATTAAAGTATTTTCTAAGTATTGAGGTCGCTCAGTCTAGCTCAGGTATTGTGATTTCACAATGGAAGTATGCCTTAGATATTCTTGAGGAGACAGGAATGATAGGTTGTAGACCTGTTGACACTTCGATGAATCCGAATTCTAAACTTCTGCCAGGACAGGGGGAGCCTTTTAGCGATCCTGCAAGATATAGGCGGTTGGTTGGTAAATTAAATTACCTCACAGTAACTAGACCTGACATTTCCTTTCATGTGAGTGTTGTGAGTCAGTTTATGGATTCTCCCTGTGATAGTCATTGGGATGCAGTTGTCCGCATTCTTCGGTATATAAAATCAGCTCCAGGCGAAGGCTTATTGTTTGAGGATCGAGGCCATGAGCAGATCGTTGGATGCTCAGATGCTGATTTGGCAGGGTCACTTTCTGATAGACGTTCTACGTCTAGATATTGTGTCTTAGTAGGAGGAAATTTGGTGTCTTGGAAGAGCAAGAAACAGAATGTGGTTGCTCGGTCTAGTGCAGAAGCAGAATATTGAGCAATGGCTATGGCCACATGTGAGTTAGTTTGGATCAAACAGTTGCTCAAGGAGTTGAAATTTGGTGAGATTAGTCAGATGGGACCTGTGTGTGATAATAAAACTGCTCTTCATATTGCGTCAAATCCAGTGTTTCATAAGAGAACTAAACACATCGAGATTGACTATCACTTTGTTAGAGAAAAGATACTCTCGGGAGATATTGCTACAAAATTTGTGAAATCGAATGATCAGCTTGCTGATATTTTCACCAAGTCCCTCACTGGTCCTCGTATTAGTTATTAGTTATATATGTAACAAGCCCGGTACATATGATTTATATGCACCAGTTTGAGGGGGAGTGTTAGTTTCATTGTATAAATAGTAGTAAATAACCCTAATCCTATGTGTATTAGGAGTAGGGCGTGTATTGTATATATAAGGCTCATTGTATTATTGTCATTTTTAATCAATAATATATTTTTTCCCGTGCTTTCTCACAATGAGGATGCTGAGATGGATGTGCGGGCACACCAGATTAGATAGAATTAGGAATGAAGTTATTGGGGATAAGATGAGTGTGGCTCCTATTGAGGACAAGATGCGGGAAGCGCGACTTAGATGGTTTGGACATGTGAGGAGGAGAAATACAGATGCCCCAGTAAGGAGGTGTGAGAGATTGATATTGGAGGGCCTCAGGAGAGGTAGAGGTAGGCCGAAGAAGAGTTGGGATGAGGTGATTAGGCATGACATGGCGCAACTACAGCTGACCAAGGACATGACCCGTGATAGGAAGGTGTGGAGGTCGAAGATTAGGATAGTAGGTTAGGTAGTCTAGTACAGTAGGTTATTCATACCGGTAGTGTTAGTACGTACTCTCGCATTAGCTTTTTGCATTTCGATCATCTTACTATCTTGTTATGTATGCTGCTTTTACATGGTTTTTTGGTGTTGTCCCGTCTTGTTTCTTGTTATTATTGGGGAACCTATGCTTGCCTAAGCCGAGGGTCTATTGGAAACAGCCTCTCTACCTCCACAAGGTAGGGGTAAGGTCTGCGTACACACTACCCTCCCCGGACCCTACTATGTGGGATTATACTGGGTATGTTGTTGTTGTTATTGTTTCCTCTCACCCAAAAGGTCAATTCATTTCAATTTCACGCCCGTTTTCTTTGTAATTTGAAGCTATCAAGGAGAAGCGGATGAAATCAATAGTTTGGTATTCGTATTATGTAGCAAAATATCACCTTCTAAATCACGTGAAAATTGTTTTATGCTTTAACAGTTAACGAGCAACATTATGAAACATTACTGTCTAAGAACTCGCAAATTGAAATAAGAGGGGAGAAATTAAGTGAGTAATTTTTTCTTTCTTGCTATTTAGACTTTCGGATTTGGTCTTTGTTCAAGGCACATGAATTATAACTGACCTGGTGGATGGTGGTTCTCATATTTCTTATTGTTGTTTCATATGCAGTTTGAACATTTTGATGATTTCACCCTTGCCTCTTCTTGGGAAAGGTATTTTTTTTCAACCATAGCAACTCACCGCATTTTTTTGTGGTATCCTCAACTTATGTGCAGCGTTTTAGTATCATAGGAGCCGAAGAAACTAATAAAGTTACTAATATTCTATATCACAGGTTCATTTCTGAGATAGAGGCAGTATGCAGGAAATGGTTGGCTGATGGCACGAAGAATTTGTTGGTATGAATGTTTTGTTTATTCACCTCATCTTTACCGGGAAAGAACTTGTGATTTCATTAATGATTTAACCTTTTTGAATGACATGCATGCCCAATGGAAATGATCATTTTACACATTGACTAAAAATTTATCATTTTGACTGTATTTGACTGACTACTGACTTTCATTTCGTACATTTGACGGAAAGAGGTCAAGATTTGGTTGAGAATACTATATCTTAGTTTGCTATTACCAGAAGTAGAAGTTCTCGCTCTGTCCATCTTTCAAGAGATTGTGATGGCTGTAGTTGAATGTTGACACCATATTCATTAGTGTGGTCCCCAAATAAACCTGATAAGGGACTGGTTTTGATTTTCTATTTGAAAGATTGAGTAATAGGTCGAATAATAGGTGTGGCGGATACTTGAGTAAAAAAAAAAGATTTGCTTACTAAAGTCTTCTATTTAGTTTAGGTCGTTCCCCAAAGATTTGCTAGTAGCCTGTCTTTTGGAAACAACAACAACAACGGCCCAGTATAATCCCACAAGTGGGGTCTGGGGAGGGTAATATGTACGCAGACCTTACCCCTACCCCGAGGGGCAGAGAGGCTGTTTCCTGGAGACCCTTGGCTCAAGAAAGCAACAAGAGACGATATATTAGTACTATCAATAGACTCATAATAAAATAACATAACATAACATAGAATAACATAAAATAACAAAATAACAATAATATAAGAAATATAGGAAATACGAAAAAGATGGAAGGTATAATAATATCCGGTAGATAAAGCCCTGCATCAGTAGCTGACCAGTAGCATCCTAAGACAGTAGCCTGTCTTTTGGAAAGGCTATTTAAAAAGAATTTGAGCTTCAAGCTCAACCTATACCTATAAAGAAGTGCTAGGTGTGATCGTTCATCATTGTTGAAGTGCGAAACCTAAGTGAATGCCAACAAGGTCGAAAGCACTTGCCACTACTTTTGAAGGAGTAATGGCTCCCTAAAAATCATCTGCTTTTAGTTTTGTCCTATACTTATAAGAATGCTGGAATAGTTTATTAGATGTTTCAGGTTCATCATCTCCGATGTTTGTAATATTTATGATTTTTTCCGGAAACTAATTAGTCACTAGCTATTCCACTTATCAAAAATAAATTATTAGCCAACATGGTATGTGGGTTTGTGCGGGATAATTTGCTGTTTATATCTGTTAATAGATTCTGTGACAATGGTTTTATTTCTGTCAACAAGTGTTTCCTTTAGAGGAAAAAAACAAGTAGTTCCTTGACGGTTTATTTCTCTGAGTGGAATCTTTTGGTCGAAGTATGAAGGAAAAGATTCTGTTATTGCTTGTCTTGATTCCTTGCTTCTATTTTTTTGCAAATTATGTGATGGTAGAAAAAGGACGCTATCTGCTTGAATATCTCTGAGGGCCTATATAAGGTCAAAGCTGACCTGAAGTACGAGATGAAAAGCTATTGCATGGAGTACTATTTTGGAACACTTAATGATGGTACGTAAATAAGTCTACTTTGAAATTAAAACTGAAAATATGTTTCTTTCTTTTTTCTCGGGACTGCCTAACAAATATCCAAAAATTTATTTGTGCCAGGAAAAGGAAAGGACTGGAGTTGTGTACTGCATGATCTGCAGCTGTTTTTTGGGGTGAATGAGTTCCTGGTATCTCTATCACTTATAAAAAAAAAGTTCCTGGTATCTCTATCTCTTCCCCTAACATGTGGCACAAAGAGGATGAGACATCTGTTGTATGTTTAGCACCTTGATATGGGTTATTATGTTTAACTTTCTTTTTTAAAATTGAATGCATGTCTCTAGGTGATTGCTCCTCAAAGTGCCAGTGGTGTGGTTCTTGATGGACCAGAGGCCAGCAAACTTCTAAGTGCAGTTGCTATTGCCTTGTCGAACTGTTCCAGGTATGGTTGTCAGTTGCAAACTTCTTTTTATATCAACCTGTAGGATCTATACCTTTTAGTAATTGAACCGAAGTACTAGTCTTCTTCAAAATCACTCAAAGGATTAATCTGTCTTTTTCAAAATCAAAGTGAGATTTTGATGGTGAACTAACATGCTTTGTCAAGGTTTCTCTTCATAATTTAAGTGCAATAGAATTAGAAGCTAGCTAACCTTGCTCAATTTTAAGCAAAATCTTGTTAGAAATAAATGGGCCCTAAATGAAAGAGAAGTTGACAGAGTATCCATTATTGAGAGAACAACATATAATTTGTGACATAATGTAATGTGAAGCATATAAAGTTGGTTATTCAGAATCATAGAAGTTGAGAAATTGAGAAAGATGTGAAGATAATGGCTACATATTTTATTTTCATACATCCAGGGCTTTGGTCTATTGGTAGAGCACAATGCGTGATGTGTGGATTAGGTGCACGTCATGGTTTGAAATGTGCCACAGACAAAATCCTGTGATGAATGGTAGATGGGTGAGCCCATTATCCATTGAGTTTCGATGCGTGTGCCAGTTTGCCCTTGGGGATTTCTCGGTTGTTCCAAAAAAAAAAAAAAGAAAATCTTTCATCCTCCGGCAAGCAGCATGGCACATTAGCTGTTACAAGAGTCCTTGAATTTCTTTAGACTTCCTTCTGCAAAAGGCCAATATAACTGAATGGAGAAAAGTCGGCATATTTTGGAAGCTCTGTAAATTGCAAGGATAGGTTTTTTGTTTCTTTTAGTTTGCTCTTCTTCTGTACATATGATTTTGGCACTGTTTTTATGCATTGATATATAAAACTTGTTACCATTCTAAAAAAAAAAAAAAAGAAGAAGAAAAGTCAGCATAATATCTATATCACTTGAAACTTTTACTAAGATATATGTAGCATTCACTCGTTGGCAAGAGAAGCGTCCTGCCACTTCTATAAAAAAATGAACTTTTGCAAATTGTAGGAGTTAGCTACACCCTGTAATTGAAAATCTGCAGAGATAACAAGCACGGCCACTGAAAATAACCACCTTGTTGAAGCTAAGGTATAATCTCTACCATATTAAGCTGACTTCTGTCGAATTTCTAATGTGCTGCTCTAAAATAGAGATCATACTTGTATTTGGCTTCTTCAGCAGATGGTGATGCTCATCTCTATGTATATTACATTTCTTTCCTTTCTGTAATGAATAATATAGTACACTTTTGATCTTTTTCACCCTTTGCTCCCTTCAGTTTGTGGCCAGCATTCGTTCCGGTGCATGATCCTTCTCGTAAAGCTTACATTGGTATTCAGAATATGGGAACCCTTTTCACCCGGCGATTTGAGGCTGACCGTATAGGTAGCCAAGTGCCGGTGAAGCTTATGCATTTGGAGGGATTGTATGAGCTATTTGTTTCTAAATTTGTAAGTTCTCCATTCAGATTGAATATTCTCAAGTAGTTTTATAGCTTATGATGGCTTAGTGGTCTTGCAGATCTTGATGACTTCCCCTATTGCCTAAGCTGGAATACTATAAAACTCCATGCATGATGTTTGTTAGCTCCTTTTGAAATATTACCATTGCTTTGTCTAGACCTTTGTGCTTTATTCTTGTTGTCACACAGTGTTTGACATTTTGGATCATGAGAGCAACATGCCTAGTTCCTGCTTTAATACATGTCACAGGCTATTGACATTTTGGATTATGTGAGAGCAGCATATTTAATTCACGTCAAGAATTTTTTTTAACCCATTTTGCCACCTTGAAAAGGAGAAAAAAACTTTGCACGCTCTCTACAAGGTTTCCGCCTAGAGTTTTTCCAAAAGGGTAATTATATGTTTTATTTTTTTAATTTTTATTTTAATAATGGTAGTGTCTGAGTCAGCTTGCTCGCACCTCGACTAATCCACCAGGTATCCGCTAACTCCCACTAGAACAGGTAGGGGTTAACTAGGTTTACTAATGTCTAGAAAAATGGAAAGAAATCACTCAATGGTTTTTGCTTTCGCTAAGATTTGAACCTTGGTCTCCCATGGCTCATTGTAGCTGCATTGACTACTAAGTGACACCCTTGGGGGCAACATGAGGTTTTATATGTTTTAATACTGCATCTGCTCTTGTTTTCAATGGGTTGCATTGCAATTTTAGGGTTTAATTAGCTTCAGCTTATGTCCTGAGATGTTCATCTTAAATTACTTGCGCAAGGCCTTCTCCAATGAGGACTTATCTACGCATCTTTTCGAAGTGAGTTTCAAGATGAAGCTAACCTATTGTACACTTCCCTACGATGAGGATGATGATGATGATGTACAAGAACCTGAGGCAGGGAGTACAGAATCTGGTGGGAGTCCCAAAAGCAATCATCACAATAAGTCACAGTGGGATGATGATTGTCCTTGGAGTGAATGGTACTCGTCAGAGGACCCAGTAAGAGGTAATTATATCGCTGAGGATGCTAATAGTTGTATGAGTTTTCTTTCCTAGCGCTGGATCTGGTGGCAATGGAACAAGTGACATGAAACCATGTTTACCTGATTGATCTCAGGTCCTGTTTTAATTTCTCATATTTGGGTGTAAGGGTCTTTGGTCATAATTCCTAAATTGGGACTATGGAAGCACATTGAATTGACAAAATGAAAATGCATAGGTTGTTAACTTTTGTAATTGTGGAAAGCCTTTAAGGCAATACTATCATCATCTTTTGGAACCTTGACATGGAAGTATGGAACAAATCTATTACACTATAAATGGGAACACTTTGTTTTAAGGAGTATTATTTTTCTAATTCATTCTTCTGTATCCAATTACTTTTTGTCATATATATCCTTTTGCTATTATTTCTTTATTATGTGGTTATGATGCAGGGTTTGAGTTGATTGCGGTGTGGTCTGAGAAAGCATTTGAAAGTTCACTTGATATGGCTGAGTTGGAAAATGCTTCACCTCTTGAAGCTGATGACTGGTTGATATTTCCATGTTTGTCTGAGACTCTGTAAGAGAATACTCTAAGTGAATTATATTGGTAGTTTGTCATTTAGCATGTCTTCAGATATGTTCTGTTAAGATTTTTGTTTGTTTAGGTGCATGCGATAATAGAAGATGTCACCTAGAACATAGATTGCTTCGGTTCATGGCACGTCAAGAGTTCGAGTACGCTATCTAACCTAAAATGTCACTAGGGGCAGCTTCTTTAGGCACACTTTGAAAATCTCATACAAATAATAATTTCTTTTTTTAAGATAGAGAATATTTGAAAGGCATAAAATAGCAGATACTTTAAAATCTTAGGGGAAATTTTCTTACATAAAATGGATTTGGAAAAGGGAAGAAGCTACTAATGGTATAACAGAATGATAATAATTTGTATAGCTAATTTTATCATTCCAAATAGGCTACTGTATCATTACTATCATGTCCAAAATGCGGATCACGATTTTCTTTAGCTAGGCGTTTGAAATAAAGACTTAAGTATCATTGAAACACAAACAACATTGTCAAAGTTGTTGATTAGCATGATTCCAGGAGACTTGATTAGGAGTGTTGATTCGCATAATTTCAGGAGATTTGATTATATTTAGGAGATCTAGTTTTATTCTGATATTATTTGATAGCTGGATTGATTGTATAGATTTATTTTATTTCCTTTATTAGCATTAGGAGCTTTGTATAAATTCCCTTGCTCATGGATGTAAACATATACAGAAATACAAGAAGCCTTTTCTTCTTCTCAAAATCTACATGGTATCAGAATATTGCTGCCTTTTTAGGGTGAGTTATCTCCCTCGCAGCACTAGAGTTCCGTTTTTATCAAAGAGGTCGAGTTTTCTTTCTCTTGTTGGCTGTCCGCAACACAAACTCCTTCTGATTTACTTCTGATTGTCGATTTGGGTGCAAATAGACACATGACATGCTCTTCTAAAGGCATTCAAAACTATTCTCTGTGTCCCAAAGGAGATAATGTTAAAATAGCCAATGGTTCTTTAACACCTATATCTGAAACAGGTTCTGTCATTTGTACTCCTAAACTATCATCTGTGCTCCATGTCCCTGAGTTCCCTAATTTATCTTTTATTTGTTAGTGTCATCACCAAATCTCTAAACTGTAAAAGCGAGTTCTTCCCCGATCATTGTATTTTTTAGGATCTTCAAACAGGGAAAATGATTGGCAGTGGTAGATTGCGTGATGACTTGTATATATTAGATGAGATTCAAAACTCTGGTCAAGCCTTTTTTGGGGAAAGTAAGGATGTCAACTAAGAAATAATATAGCGGCATAGATAGTTAGGACACTCATAATTCTTTGTTTTGAAGAAGTTATATCTCGATTTGTTTTTAAGGACTCGATTTGAATCTTTGTTTTGTGATGCGTGTCAATATGCCAAGCATACTAGAAACTCTTATCCTGTGAGTGATAATAGAAGCACAACTTCGTTTATGACTATTTATTCTGATGTATGGGGTCCTACCAAAACTGTTTCTTTGTCTGATAGTCGATGGTTTGTTACTTTCATTGATTGCTACACTAGGATGACTTGGGTATATTTGTTAAAAACCAAAAGTTTTCTTTTGTTTTAAGTCATTTCATTCGATGATTTGTACTCAGTTTGATGCCAAAAGTATCTTGAGAACTAACAATGGCAGCGAATACATGGATAAAAGATTTGGTACTTATTTGGAGTCCAATGGGATAGTCTATCAGACTAGTTGTCCTTACACTACTGCACAAAATGGGGTCGCTGTAAGAAAAAATAGGCATATGTTAGAAGTAGCAAGATCTCTTATGTTCACCATGCATCTACCAAAACCTTATTAGGGGATGCTATTCTTGCGGCTGCCTATCTTATCAACAGAATGCCACTTAAACCCCGCAATTTTCAAAGTCCTCTGGAAACTTTAAAGGGTAAGAATGAATATACTATTCCTCCAAAGGTGTTTGGGTGTGTTTGCTTTGTCCACACTAGAAATTTTGGGAAACTTGATCCTAGAGCTATAAAGTGTCTTCATTGGGTCTTCACTGTGAAGCACAAAGCTAATGGGTCAATTGAAAGATTCAAAGCAAGATTAGTGGCTAAGGGATTCACTCAGACTTATGGAGTGGATTATCAAGAGACATCTGCCCTTGTTGCTAAGATGAACACTGTCAGGGGGTGGGAGAAGGGTTATCAGGTAGCTGAGGTTGAATCGTGTACAATGAGCAAACTTTCACTCCTGTCCAAAACAGTGAAGGATTATTTGTTTTGTGCGTCACTTAAATTTTTTAAAATTACAAGTGGCAGGGTTTAGAGATCCTGCTCTTAAAATTCTCTTTTGATTCAATGATTGCCTTACCTCTGAACTTTGCACACCCAATTTGGAGTCTTATTTCGTAAACATTTGGTATTTTCAGCACTGAGGATTCTGATGGAAAGAGGATTGGATTTGCATCACAGTTGCGGCTTCTTGTTGATGCTCTGGAAATGTCAATGGAAGCAAAGTTTATAGAAGATTTTGTTTCAGGTTCTAAAAGTGTTCATGAAGCATCTGTACTTCAGCTTTCAGATTAATGTAGCTCCAATGTCAGATCTTAATGCATGTGAAGTAAATCTTGACACATTTGTTCTTCATTTTGCTTCCGTCATTAGAGCATTCAGGACCTGAGACTTTGAAGTCTAGTGCAGTCATACCTCCTCCAACTGTCCTTGATCGTGTGCTCAAAGACCTTTTTCATGAGGGTATGTCACTAGTTATTCATTTTTTCAAGTGGTTGTTTTTGACTTTTATTATTATTTCCCTCTTTGGTTATATAAATGTGCCGCTATGCAATTATGGCATATCAACTGCTACTTCCTGGGGTCTCAACATGCATTATCCCCACCTCTGGCTCTACATTAGTTTTATACCCATCTCTGGCTCTATGTTACTTTTGCTTAATTTTGAGGTTAAATATTATGATCAGTTGCATTTCACATGTGAAGCAGCAGTATGCGTATTTTTTAGGGAGTAATAAGTATTTGAACTTGTCTCGGACAAGCGCATTGCATGTGTACCCCATATTTATGAGTGTAAATTTTTTGAGAAATACATAAATATTATTAAAAAATATTTTGAGTTATAAAATGAGAACTAAAGAAAAAAAATTGAAATTCCTGAAAATGATGAATGTTAATCTCATTTAACGAGCACATCAAAGGAGAAAACCATACCGAACAAAAGTCCACGGAAACAGAAGCAGTAAGGTTGATCATTGATCCATCATGTGTTATATCATTATTTATCCTCAGTACATAAATCATCATGTGTATGAATTTCTTTCATATCTCTCGTGCCATATTAATCCTCCATGTGTAGGGTCGAAATGTTGACAATATTGAAGGCATTGTTCTTTATACATATTCGACAAACAAAGATAAAAGAAAAAAAATAGACAGACACATACAATTTATTTGTCACTGAAAACAATTTTGTTTTGCCAGAATATTACTCATTCTTTCATTTTGAAAAGATTTAGTGGAGCAGTTTAACTTTGTGCAATATATTTAAAAAATAAATTAATTATGCTGAACTGTTTAAAGAACATTGAATAATCAGTGCGAAAGATCCAAGACACCATTCCTTAAAACAAAATAAAAAAAGAAAGAAAAGGAAGATGATTGTATAATATTTCAAATTAATGTTGTGCCATGATTATTTCCCTCGCAATATGATCACTGTATACGTAAATATGAAGCGCAATCCCACATTCCTATTCCATATTACATAGAATTACCTAAAGATGAAAGAACACTAACTTTGGCCCTTATAAGCAGTGAAAAGAGAATCAAGTCACTTGCTTTTCAACTTTTACAATAGAAAAACAAGACTATAAAATTCTAAAATGGATTCTTGTACATTTATATTACTGTGTCCCACCAACTTCACCCCTAGTGAGTTGGTTGAGTCCAAGAAGCTGAAAGGATTTCGCAAGGGTGAATGATATCAGATGGCTTTGAAAGAAAATCTATTTTTAAGTGGAAAATTACATTACATGATCATTTCAAAAGAATATAGGAATATGAAACCCAATGTGAGAGCAAAAACGAGAAGATAACATGTTAAGAAATAATACTAATGTTAGCTTTAGAAGATGAATAGTATGCTGGAAACAGTACAGTAATAAATTTCTTACAAGTAAAGGCTCATGTTAAAAAGTTTATGATTTCAAGTCACACTTTCTAACATAATTTTATATATTACTCCCTCTGTTTCAATTTAGATGACACACTTTCCTTATTAATCCGTTCCAAAAAAAATGACACGTTTCTACAATTGGAACTAATTCAACTTAAACTCTTCATTTTACCCATTTTACTCTTAATGAGAAGCTTTTATAACCACACCAATGTCATGGCCTCACAAAGCTTTTACCCCTTAAACTTTGAAGACCACAAGTTTCAGAAGTATTTTTTTTTCTTAAACTTCGTGCCGAGTCAAACTACCTAATCTAATTGAAACAGAGGGAGTAATATTAAGGGTAGAAGTGGTCGTTTATCTTTTAATGGGCATTATGGTAATTCAAATTTGAACTTAGGGGCTTCCCACATTTAGTCTAGTATAGAAGTTATAGATGTACATTGCAAATCCTTTGCTTATTTAAGCATAGTCAACTACCAAACTAGTAAATATTATTGCCTTTGTCACTTTTTGACTGGCAATAACAAAGTGACATAGTTAGATAGAGCAACTCAACGTCTCAACCTGTCATTATTTGATGAGCAACTTGACATGTCATTTTCACTAGTCTGATACATATTTCATAAATCGACTAGATGATTGAACTTACCTAGGGGTGTCAATGGTTCGGTTCGGCCGATTATTTTATAAAATTTGTACCATGCCAATTTTTCGATTATTCTATTCTGTATAACCAAAAGTAGACTTTCCGAAACCATCCCAATCATATCGGTTTCTCTTCGGTATCGGTACGGTTCGGATGATTTTCGGTATTTTTTAAAATGTCATGTAAAAGTCACTAGTAGAAGTAGAGTGCAATAACATATGTACTTTTATATGACTTAACAAAACTCTTTAGACATTTTTACTGTTTAAAGGGTGATGAATTAAGAAAACATGAAAGATGGCCAGAGTATAGATCCATCAACTATTCTACAGCAGCATAAAAAAAATTAAACAAAAACAAAAAAAAATATGTATCACACGAGTGAAAAGATATTAACCAACTGGGACTCGAGAATAAAGTCTATAGAAGATTAAATAGTCAAAAAAAATAATCCAAATCATACGAAAGGAAACATATTCAATACATTATAGTTTCCTGCTCATAATCTCTAGAATCCTAATGTCTTGCTAGTGAATATGTTGGAAATAATTTAGTTTCAATAAGAGTAGCATAACAGGTTTGGAATTAGAATTTTGAGTTTTAAATACTTGTTGGCTTGTAACGTTTTCATAATTCCAAGGCCCGCGAAAAAAATTAATGCTTTATTATTTTTAAACCTAATATATAAATATATTTTTTCACTTGTGAATTTATTCGGTACGGTTCGGTATATTTTTGGTTTATTTTCATAAATTAAAAACCTACTCTAATTATCGGTACAATTATAGATTTATATAAAACCCACGGTTTCATTAAAAGAAACCTAAAATCGGTACGGTACGGTATGGTTCGGTCGGTTTAGTCACTTTTAAAATATCCATTGACACCCCTAAACTTACCAAAAGAAAAAAGAGGGTCTCAACTAGCAACGTAGGAGACGCATACATTTTGTGGTTGTGCTCCACTAGTGATGGATCTACTTTAAGAAGATAGTTTTGAAATTAGATGAAATGTAATGAACTGTCTAGAGAATTTTAGTGGTATGTGGTAACAGATATTCCAAATTTCAGGGTCTAACTGACAAGAAGTTTGACATCTTCATTGGTTCATCATGCTTTGTTGTAATTTATTCATACAGTTGAAGGCCTGCAACTTGGTTTTTCTGATGGAGATCATAAAAATTCCCGCACCATTAAAGGTGCCCCTCTTGAGTCACTGTTTGGGCAGTTCTGTCTGCATGCTCTGTGGTTTGGTGATTGCAATATACGTGGTACTTTTCTGACTTTCTTCAAGAGCAATTCAAATACATTATCTTTTCCGTTGTATATTCCTGTAATCATGTTTACTTTTGATTTTATTTTTCCCTAAGGTTTTTGTTTTCTATTGGTGTCTATTAGCTATTGCTGTATTCTGGATAGAGTTCGTACGGGAAGTTCGCTGGTGTTGGGAAGAGTCACAGCCAGTACCTAGAATGCCATCTAATTGTGTAATTGATCTATCTACCTGCCTGATTAACCAGAAACTACACATGGTAAGTAACCTCTGAAGTTTGATGCTTTGCTCATAGACTAGAGAATTGAAAAATATTGAGCTTGAAATTTCATGTCTATAGATTCCATGAGGATGCCTGTATATGCCACTAAGAAGTTGTGTTATTCAGCATTTAGATTGTCTAAGTGCGTCTGTTTCCCTCTTTTGCTCCTTCCTATGCCTTCCCATTCTATCCTCTTGTGGTAAATTTTGAAGTCCTCCCGCGCAATTCATTGCTGTACATGTAGACAATCTGACAGTGGAACTAATTGTGAATGTACAATATGACCCGACCTTAACAGATATGGATAAATGTCACTTTTTTCAGCTTATAATATGGTGTTCTGTAATTTTGCATAGATTTTCATGATAATCTGTTGCCCCGTTCACTTATAAAGAGTGAAATCTTTCTTTGGGAGAAGGTGAAACTGTACAATATCTTTTAATTTTGTGAAAGATGAAGTTTTTGAGTCTTCTAACTGATTGTGTTCCTCTGCATTTTCTCTCTAGTGGATTTTCTCTTTTGAAGATATGGTGATGAAATATTATCTATTCGCTCTAATTGTTTTTTTTCTTCTCTCAAATGTAGCTTTCAATTTGCATTAATAAAAAGCGTCAGCAGGAACAAGAGAGTCCAAAGTGTGGTGAACAAAAAAAATTTCCTTCTCATGTTAAGGTATTATAGCATCAATAAATGCTATCATTTTAAGTGTTTAAGAATGTCAAAACAGTGTTATGGCTGTGTGCCTGACAGGAAACCAATTAACCAATGTGATGTAGGAAGAGACTCAGGTCAAACGTTGTTTATCTCCTCGTGATGGAAAAACTCAGACTTCTTCTGGAGAACGTGAAAGGTGAAAAGCAAGTGAGAACCTTTTGTGTTCATGTTGAATGATAATTGTCGGTGGATCATGTCTTTCCAAAGTAGGTTATTTCAGTTCTTCTGCCTTTTGGTAGTGCTTTTATTCATTCTTGCATTCCAGTCTCCGGATGTTAAGCTTTGGGAATCTAAAGTTGTATTCCGAGAAGTTCATTGCAGTTGCTAGTATAATTATCTTGGCCTTACCTTAGCTTGTTTGTTTTCTTGTGATGGAATACTATAATGCTCCTGTAATTCCAAAGCATGGTGATTGTGCTGACACACTCTAAAATATGTCATGAAGTTTTGGATGTTTGTCAAATCTACTTTCATTCATTTGTTTTCTAATTGATGAATAACATCATAAGATTGGGATTGGTGGATATGGTGGTTTTTGGCTTGATGTGTTAGGTATAGCCTAAAGTGTTTTCCTAGAGAAATATTTTCCTGTGTTTGGTTGCCTTAACCTGTTGAAAAAAATTCCTTTGCGAGATACTTGTAGAGCAAAAAGACTTACTCCATGCTTCCCGATTATTGCAAAGGGAATTTTTTCAAAAGGTTAAGGCAACCAAACACTGAAAAATATTTCTCTAGAAAAACACTTTAGGCTATACCTAACACATCGAGCCATAAAACACCATATCCACCTCAATCTTATGATGTTATGCATAAATTAGAAAACAAATGAATGAAAGAAGTAGATCCGACAAACATCCAAAGATTCAGGATATATTTTAGAGTGCGTCAGCGCAATCACTATGCTTTGGAATTACAGGAGAACTATAGTCCTCCATCACAAGAAAAGAAATTAGATAAGGTCAAGATAATTATAATAGCAACTGCAATGAACTTCTCGGAATATAACTTTAAGACTCCCAAAAGCTTAACATACTCTTACTATCAACTCTTACTTCCTCTTTCTCAAAAATAAATAAATTATTAACTCTTACTTCATACAATTTGCTTCAAGCAGCATGTAATGCTTGACACTAGCATGAGCACCACCTTCTTACCCCATCTGGAACCTTTAATATTCATGTCCAACCAAATACTGGAAAATGATCTCGAAAATAGTTTTCTAAAGTAAGGTAATTTTCACTAAAATATATTTTCCATTAAAACATTTACCAATACACATGCACACAGTATATGAGAATATTCCCATTATTTGCCACACATTTAAGGGGAAATAAATTAATGCAGTAGTTCTGGTTTTGACGGTCCTGTTTTATATCCTATTTTTTAAAACTTATGACGGTCCTTTTAGACAATATTCATCCGAAACACTTAAAATGTGGTATTACGAGAAGGTGGGCTTGTCAGTTCCCCCCTTCCCCCCCAACCTTTTCTCTCATAAGGAGAAACAGGCTGATCCTTGACTAATCCTAATCTGTTCTATAGATTTTAAAGTGTATAGTCTTCTATGACATCTTTCTGTTGGTATTAGCTTCTATTGTTTGGGTTTTAAGGTAATCTCAACTAGCCTAGGTATAGTCCTTCCAGTTTTTCCTTCATTTACTTTTGAACCAATTCTTTGATTTTGATCTGCAAAATTGCAGTGCCTATAAATTTGGTCTTGTAAGTTGGGGATACTTCTATTGTGCACAGTCTGGATAAATGTTCCAAACTTACCAGAATTTTCTGAGTTTGCCTTTGTTTTTTTATTTGAATTGAGTTATTTCCTGTTCTTTTGGCAGTCTATCAAGACCAGATGTTGTAAAAGATTCTGTGGGTCATATTTCTAATTCTGGACATTCTGATACTGTGAAATTGGGTGATGCTAAGCATTCAGCATGTATTAGGAGGGGATCAGCTGGTGTTGTGGGTTCTATGATGCTTTTGAAATCTCAACAGAACATGCATGCTCCATTTACACAGGTTGGTTTATTTGAATTGCTAACCACGTCTTTATTTGTTTCATTCACGTCTTTTACTGTCCAACCTTCTCTTGTTTCTGGTGCACAATATTAAAGTTTTTTCTTTTATTATGAAAAATTCATATAGGAGCCGCCGGTTATGACCGAAGATATGCATGAAGAACGTCTACAAGCTGTTGAAGCATTAGGTGATTCTTTTGTGAGCACCAAACTCTATTATCGACAATTCAGTTTCCTGATAGATAATCATCAATTTTGGTGGTATTACTATCCCTATAGCAGGTCATTGCTTCTTGTCGTTGAAATGATTGGTGCTTATTTTGGAAAGTCTGAAGTAGTAGTCATAATTGAATGGTTAGGTGCATAGTGGGATCAGGTATATGTTTTTTGATTTTTTGTTTTGACAGCTCTTAACCTCTTCAAGAAGAGAAATACTATTACCTTCTCAGCATTCTATGGATCTTCAGTACCGGGGTGTGGTTATGAATTGTGAAACCACCTTATCCATATTTTGAGATTGCTAGTACGTCTGGTTAAGATGATTGGGCACATGATGACGTTTGGAACAAAAGTGTAAAGAGCCATCTTAGCAATCCCTTGATCCTTAGACGCGTCTGACCTCACAACGTTTCCTTACTACTAATGTTTTTCTTGACTAATTTTCTTAAGAAATATTCAATTACAATCCGTAACCATATGGGTCTCTCAGAAAGTCTGTACCTGGATTTGCACTGTTGTTGTGACTACTAACTTCAACGTTGTTAGACCTACTTTTTAGCCCACCATTTTTATTTTTTTCTCTAGTTTTTTTTGCTCGCGGAGTATCTCTAAAATATTGTTCCACTTCGGAAAGTAGCAATCTTTGTTTAGAATGCAAAGCTAAAGAAATATGAAGTGAGCTACAATTGGTATTTCTTGAACAGAAAACTCTCTTTTACCATTCTCTGTTTAGCTATCATAATCATACTGCTGTTTGGAGAGGAGATCTGCAGATGTTTCTTGTATCGTATATTCGTATGATGAAAACAGTTGTTTCCAGTAAATCTATCATTTGCTGCTTTACCTAAAAGCCTCACCTTGAACAGTAATACTTTCATTTCATCTGACAATGGAAGTTTCTAATGTTCCTTTACAGAGCTTTTCGGCTCAACTGGAGAAAGACATTTTATCATCAGGTACTGACTTCTGTGCTTATTTTCTTAAAGGCCTTCCTTGCTGTTCTGTCTTGCATCATGTCCATGTTCATGTAGTGGTATTTTCTCAGTGGTCGTTAAAGTGAAATTTCATTTTACCATCCGAGAAATGCCGATATTTCTTGAAGATCTCTGGCTTGCTTTGTACTGAGTGTGAGAAAGCACGGGAGAAAATATATTATTAATTAAAAAAATTGACAATGATACAATGAGCCCTATATATATAATACATGTCCTACTCCTAATACATATGGGATTAGCGTTATATACTACTATTTAACTATCAAACTAACACTCTCCCTCAAGCTGGTGCATATAAATCATATGTACCGAGCTTGTTACATATATAACTAATACGAGGATCAGTGAGGGACTTGGTGAAAATATCAGCATGCTAATCATTTGACTTCACAAATTTTGTAGTAATATCTCCCGAGAGTATCTTTTCTCTAACAAAGTGACAGTCAATCTCGATGTGTTTAGTTCTCTCATGGAACACTGGATTTGACGCAATATGAAGAGCAGCTTGATTATCACACACAAGTCCCATCCGACTAATCTCACCAAATTTCAACTCCTTGAGCAACTGTTTGATCCAAATTAGCTCACATGTGGCCATAGCCATTGCTCGATATTCTGCTTCTGCACTAGACCGAGCAACCACATTCTGTTTCTTGCTCTTCCAAGACACCAAATTTCCTCCTACTAAGACATAATATCCAGACGTAGAACGTCTATCAGAAGGTGATCCTGCCCAATCAGCATCCAAGTATCCAACGATCTGCTCATGGCCTCGATCCTCAAACAATAATTTGCCCGGAGCTGATTTTATATACCGAAGTATGCGGACAACTGCATCCCAATGACTATCACAGGGAGAATCCATAAACTGACTCACAACATTCACAGGAAAGGAAATGTCAGGTCTAGTCACTGTGAGGTAATTTAATTACCAACCAACAGCCTATATCTTGTAGGATCGCTAAGAGGCTCCCCCTGTCCTAGCAAAAGTTTAGAATTCGGATCCATCAGAGTGCAACAGGTCTACAACCTGTCATTCCTGTCTCCTCAAGAATTTCTAAGGCATACTTCCGTTGTGAGATCACAATACCTGAGCTAGACTGAGCGACCTTAATACCCAAAAAATACTTTATCTGCCCAGATCCTTAATCTGAAAGTGCTGAAAGAGATGTTGCTTCAACTTATTAATACCATCCTGATCATTGCCGGTAATAACAATATCGTTAACATAATCGACCAGATAAATACAGAGATTTGAAGCAGAATGTCGATAAAATACAGAGTGATCAGCTTCACTACGAGTCATGTTAAACTCCTGAATAACTGTGCTGAACTTACCAAACGAGGCTCGAGGAGACTGCTTTAGACCATAGAGGGACCGGCGCAACCGACATACAAGGCCACTAG